GGCCAAAGTCCGCCCTCCGGAAGTCCATGGTTGTGGTTTTGCTGCCCCCCCTCCTTACTTCACCAAGAAGCGAGAATTCTATCATTTCATGGTCTCTAAGCCCAAAATTATACTTACTAATCTAATAATTTGACATACTATTTACCAGTTTTCAAAAGAAAATTTACAGTCTATAAATCAACCCAGATCCTGGCGGCTCATGAGGATTCTGCAGAAATAGCTGCCTTTGAAATGTTGGAAACAAAGGAACAGTTCATGCTTTTTCTGATGAATTTGTAATGCAGAGTATCATTAAAGGATTATACACACAGAGAATAAATCCCTCCCAAGCATTTCTATAGAACCACTAATCTTGTTTGATAAAGGTGCTTACCCTTTGATCTTAAAAATCACCATTCCTATTTTTAAAGATTTATTTTTATGAAATCCAACATAATGCCAGTGACACACGCTTTTCCAAGAAGGACAACAGTGGATTTCTTCCAAAAGCAGGTTCTAAATACTACAAGAACATGTGAGTAGAAAGCATTTATCATAAATTTTTCATACATATTTTCTTCATAATGCTGGACAGAAGTTCTGAGAAGCAGATAAGGTGTTCACTTACTCATCCAGCAGTGAGTTCCACACAAGCAGACTCACAGGTCCATATGGACCTTGATATATCACTAACTCTTGAAATACACATATGGATTGTTCACGCACAGTTTATTACTGGAACAGAGTTTAAGACGTAACTTTTTCTGCTGTGTGTAACAGTTGCAAATCAGTGACCTAGTGACTACCTAAGAATAATTTTAGTATATCCATCTTTAACGGAAACATTTCTTTTTTCTTTTCTTTTTTAAAAACCTTTTAAACATTAAAAATACAGAAATTGTTGTTTAGTCAGCATAGGAAAAAGACAAACAATTTGAATTTCCAGTTGACACGCCAAATTTCAATTACCCAGTCTAGCATTCATAACTCAAATACTTGTTAAACAGTCCTCACTGTAATTGCACAGAAAAAATGCAAGATTTTTATATATATAAAAAAAAATGTATATACATACACACACAGATCAGAAACACAGCTAGTTTCTACACAGTATTCCAGAGATTAAAATAAATGCCAAACTTCATCGCAATTGGAAGCATATATTTGGTCACAAGCCTGTGACTTAGTGCAAGTCTCCTTAGAGTGAACTTAGAGTTCTGACCTATTTTGCAAATACACCATGAAACCTTGCTAGTGCTTTTAAGACCTTACACACTTATACAGAACGCACGACAATCAGAAAAAAAAGGAAGACTGGAATAAGAGGGGTTTTTTCCCTACTTCCCCTTATTTGTTTGTGTCCTTCACGCAAAAGGTTGGCAGATTTCCAGTTAGAGCTGCAATCACAATAGCTTCACATTAAAGAGATGTAGCCTGTAGACTTCCAACCTCATATTGTAATCTGTGCTGCTGTTACACAAAGTCAAGATGGTCTGGTCTAGCTGCACTGAATACGAGATATGGCAAATACCGCAGGTCCCTTCCAACCCAAACTATTCTATGATTCTATGGTTTAGCAGGCCACCTTCCTTCTGAATCAACAATCACTGCATCAGCATAGTGCAAGAGGAGATGCCACTTTTAGAATGAAAAAGAACATTGAGATTAAAAGAGTTGACGCCATTTTTCACATGAGCAAATGCACTAAAAACTTGATACCCTGCCATTATTTCTAAATAAGCAGTTGCATTTATATCTACCAGCAGCATCTGAGATTCAGAACCAGGATTTCAACACCAAACTCTTCCCCTCAGGATAGCAGGTTGACTGCCATCTTTCCACATCAGAACTTCCAGAGGCAACCAACTCCTCTTGTTACCCAGCCTAACAATAAGTGGCACCTTTGCCAACACCCTTCAGCTGTCGACATGTCCCAGGAAAGTGGCACTTTTAAGTTATTTCACACAATCTCATGAAATAAATATGAGAATATGCAATAAATTTGATCAAGCTGTAACTATACCCAAGGGAAGAGTTAACTATACAGAAGACTTTGCAGGGTAGCAATGGAAGGAAATCTAAAATAACCAGATAACTGCTCTAACCTAAGGATCTTCCACGCAGTATCAATAAATTCAGCTAGTAACTGAAAAGTGACAGAAAAAAAATATCTATTATTGACCAAAATCTATTCCCCGTTTTTGAGGAAGA